CTACCCTGTTCCAGGCAACATCTACAGTGAGTCAAACAAATGGTCGGGTGTTGATTGTTTTTTTTTAATATTCGCAATGTTTTTTCAGCTAAAAAATTGCGTTGATTTTTGAGATTTTTTTTTGTTTTGGGAACTACTAGCGTTTAGACCAGTAAAATTAGACTTAAAAAAAAAAATGTAACAGCGATTTTTTGATGCAGTTTACTTCTATTTGACGCGTACATAATGGATCCACAGTTTTACCTCAATTTTATATGGCAACATTCCACCATCTTGGATTTAAGGGTTTTCGGGTTTTTTGCGATTTGCAAGCTTATTTTGCATTTTTCTGAAAAAATTTCATTCTCCACAACTTTTATACAAACATTTTTTTATACGACGCTTAGATCACGACAGGGAACGTGCCAAACAGCGATGTTAGGGAAGCGGCGTATAATTAATTTCAACACTACGTCAACCGGTATTTTACGATGGCCAACATTTTATAGGACGGATTACAGTGTGGCCTTTTGAAAAATTCAACATGGCGTCTCTAATATGGCGTTCAAATTAACCTTAAATTAGATTTTGCTTTACAATTTTTGCGCCGAAAAAAGATCAAAATGAAAAGCAGGTTCTTACGGTTTTGAGGTTGCTGTTTACGACATATTTATGTGTGAAAAAAGCAGAAAAAATCAAATACCTCTCGAATCAGAAAAGATAGCGAAATAAACGTAACGGTATTTTAAAGCTTTTGAAATGGAAAATTCGGGAAAAATTGGGTAGAAGGATTACCTTGACCTTTAAATGACCTCCAAACGTAGAAAATTTTAAATTTGTTGGCCTGAAACTAGTCTGCAATGTACTTTTCAAAAAGCTTTAAATACAAATTTTCCCTTTTCTTATTTCAATAAATCAATTTACATGGTCACAAATCAAAAATATGCGTTAAATATTTTTTGTTTTCCAAAGTCCATCGCATGCTGTTTTTAGGTCAAAAAAGAAAGGTTGATTTTGAGGTGGAGATAATTTTTCATTCAATCAGGTCTTTGTTTTAATCATTTATGGCCTTCTAAAAATTGAATATTAACGAAAACAAACAACAACCACATGGCCTAGTGTAAGTTGTGTAATGTAGGTGGGTTGACATATGAAAAAAGTGGAAAAAGCAACAACAGTTTACGTGGCGAACTTAGCTCAGTGTGTAAGATACTGGCTTTGATATCCGAGGTTGCTGGTTCATATCCCAGTGACCGCGGTTGAAGAAGTCGGATGAGTAGATGTGGTGATCTCCGAAATAGCAGCTATAACTTCTACCAAAATGTAAATTATTGTTGTTTTTCCGCAACATTTTCATTAAAAATGGTCTCAGGCTCAAGAAAATTCTTGAATATTGAATTAAATCTTGTAAATAACCTACAGAAGAAAAATATTTTAACCTCAATGTGTTTCATCCCCAAAATTCGAAATAAATTCTTCGAAAAACTCATGTTGTTTTAATGCAAGGCCCAAGTTTTAAACAATTATCCAACGAACACCTTTATGTTACAAGCTTTTGTTAAATTTCATCTGTATATACTTTAAGCCGTACACATTTGTTTAGACACCCTTTAAAAACAGTTAAATTGCACTTTTTGCTATAACCTTCCTATTTGATGTCCGATTTTTAAAATCATTATGTTGCCGAAAAGGTCTATAATATTCCCTTATACGGGGCTGGCCCTAAAACCTGTTTTGAATTATAGCTACACTAATTATGGAAAGAGGTACTATCCCTAGTTTTTTATTTCAAAAAATGATGAGGACTTTGCTAGACAGTGTTAGACTTTAGTCACAAACCAAAAAGTTAAACCTAATGGCCCGTAGTTATAGTCGAAAGTTAAAACCTCTTCTAGTTAAAATTAATCTTTAAGTTTAGAGCAGGCTTTAAGTTTTAGTCAGTTATAGATATATTAGAGGCAGGTTTTTGCTAGATTGACACAAAACAGGGCCATTAATATAAAATGAAAAAAGTAACCAATCGGCATTAGGAAAACTTTGTTATTTTAGCAAGTTCACCCTGTGTCAACTGACTTTTATAAATAATTTTGAAAATGGCGCAGCAAACTGTAAGTAAATAACAAATTTTTGTAAAATATAAAATATTAACGTAAATAATTTAATTTTTATAGGAAGTGAAAAGAATTCGTGAAGTTAATTGGACTGCTGCTGAAAAGACCTGCTTGCGGGAATGTATAAATACTCACATCAACGTCATTGAGGACAAGACGATTGTATCATCCAAACTCGCAAAATCTCGAAATATCCTTTGATTGGGAAGCATATGGGCAAATCTAAAAAATAGGTACACTTTCAAACAAAAAATTTTAATTTTTAAATTTGTGAGCACACCTATGTTTTATATATCATTTTATTCGTAATCTCTTAATAAATCTATTAATATAAGTGTAATTCATATTCATCAAGTGCTTCAAAAGTTAGACGAGGAATAAGCATGAAATAGAAAACAAAAGAATAAGCTGGGTTGAAATTACGCTGTTCAAGTTGTAAACTTTGAGGAAAGATTTTGAAAGTTGAACTCACTTAATTGGGATGTTCTAAATTCAATGGCATGCCCTGTTTTACCAGATTGGCTCCGGTTTTCGAGATAACGGTACTTGAAAATTTTATTAAATTTTAACTATTTCATAAATAACTCCCTCAATTTTGAAGTTATTTTACTAAAATTTTGCACATAACAGTTTTTTAATATTACCTTAATTATTCCTTAAAATTATCGAAATACGTTAACATTAACATATAGCTCCAATACAACTGATTACTCAGATATGTGTTTTTGCGCAATAACTCTAACTTCATATCTGAATAATAAATTGTATGCGTGCTATATGTTAAATTGAACCTATACTAAATTTTAACCTGTTTAATTGAAGGAGTTATAACGCAAAACAACGTCTCAGATCAATCAGTTGTATGGGAGCTATATGTTTTAGTGAACCGATTTCGATGATTTTATGGAATAGTTAAGGTAATATTAAAAAACGGTTATGTGCAAAATTTTAGTAAAATATCTTCAAAACCCAGGGACTTTTTTTATAAAATAGTTAAAATTTAAGGAAAGTTTCAAGTACCGCTATCTCGAAAAGTGGAGCCAATAGGGTAAAACTTAGGACGCCATTGAATTCAGAAGGCTCCAATTAAGTAAGAGCAACTATCAGAACATTTGTCGAAAAAAAGTTGCTTTGATACCACTCTCGAAATATTCTGACTAAAAGAAGTAGCATCATTAAGAGTAGTAAATCAGGGTTTTTACACACTTCTAGAGATAAATTTTTTGAAGCATTTTACAGGTATATGTAATTTTATAAGGACTAGCAGTTATAGAAAGATTTAGATCGTATCGACGTGTTTTCCAAATGTGGCTTTAATTAAAGTGTTTTTGGAATAAAAATTACGCTCAAGATCGCAGAATATTTTATCTTTAAAAGTTGGTTTATTCTGAAAGCACAGCTCTTGCTCAGGTATAAAATTCGTAATTGTTTGTAGTATACAATACATACTTAAAAAGTTCTTAAACTTAAATGCTTCAAAAACTATACGCGATAAACCGAAAATTTTGAAAATTGTGAAATGTGGAATTACAGACTTTGAGTTACTTGCCATTTCGTTATTTTTTAATGCACACTTTTCTTACCTACTACATTTGAAGTGTACACATAAGTACTAATTGCACATACAATTTCAAATCAGTATATGGTGTGCTTCAAAAGTTATGGCATAATTAATTTTTCACCTCTTAAAAATTACATAAAAAATTCACTTGTTTTCATTATTATTTTTTATTTAAACACCTATAATTCAAAAGTTATGCGGCAAATTGATCCAAATTTTTTTTGAGGCTTCAAGTATACGTCAATGAATTATATCCAAAAGCAACCAGCTTGATATAGTTTCCAACAGTGAAAATAAAGCTAAAAAACACCAAGGTTACCTGTTTTTTAGATTTGCCCATATTCCCCAAATTAAGACCACTTTTGTATTTTCTCCGCAAATTTTGACAGGAAATCGTCTACTTAGAGTACGCTTTTAAGATTTTAAAACCTCGTCAACCTCATTTTAAATTTAAAACGCCGTTTTAAAGTTAAAAGGCCTTTTAAGTTGACTATGACAGTGTTAAAAGAGTGTTCATCTTAATATACAGTTTTAAATGTTAAAACCTGCCTCTAACTGGTCTATAACTACGGGCCAATGTTTTTAAAATCCAGCAGAACCCATCACTTAGCATACACAGGGATACCATTACCCCTTACGCGAGCGCGAGTCTTTACCCCCGACATATCAAATGGATGTACATATGAGCAGCATCTGAAGATTTTGCTGCTTTGAGCTTGATGACAACTGTTGAAGGAATAGCGGATTCTAGCCAGGGCTAAGTAATGCCGATTTCGATTTTACCGAAAAATGCAACCTTCTTTCTCTACGGCCTCTACGCACAAACACTAAGAACGCGGCGAATAAAAAGCAATTTTTTTTGTAGAACCGAAAACGACATACATAAGTCGCTACAACGAAAACTGAAAACTTTTGCTAAAAAATGTTTTTTTTTTTATAAGTAAAGCATATGAAAATGTGTATAGTACTTTATAGTATAAAAAAAAAACCATTTATTCAAAATATACCCATTGAGAATTAAAAAGCTTATAAAAGGACTATAAAGTATAGTGTATTCCCGGTAGGATTGAGAGCAATTCAGCTTCCTAATTGGCCTCTATTGCGTTGGGACTCTGACGGCTGGAAAGCTCACGCTTGCAAAGCATAAAAGCACAAAGAATATTTCAAAATTATGTAGTAAATCACAGAAATTTAATATTATAAAGTACACAAAGCAGCTCTTATATTTACACAACTACCATTTAAATAGTTATTTCTATGCTTTGACTCATCTCCAAACAGAATGTAACAAAGCTAAATTTTATTAGCCCCATCGAAATCATTTGAATTACACTAAAATCGCAACTTACCTGCAACACAGCAAAGATGAGCGCAAACACGGTGACAACCAACAGACATGCGGCCACCGCAATGGCAGTAATTGTCGTCAGCGGTGAACCGACACGTGAAAAGAAACCACCAAAGGCGCCACCGCTGCCACCCGCGGTATCCTCGTCCAACAGACCACCATACAGTCCGCCACTGTACGCGCTACCAAACTGCTGCTGCTCAGCGGCGGCCGCAATGCGACGTTTGCCCGCAGGTGAAGCATTGATGCAACCTCCTGCAAAAAGCAAACAATTGCTATTAGGAACACACATGACGTATAACTTCTAACTGCTTGCATATAGATATCCGCCTTGCCTCTCTAAATGAGGAATATGTGCTTTCATTCACTTACCAGTATCCTTATCACAATGACAGCATGACTGATCCTCCGGTGCCGCATCGGTGGGACAGCAGGGCACACACTGATTATTCAAACGATCCAAATGCAGAGGGAACGCGCAAGTTTTGCATGAATACTGGCCAGGGCCGGAGCAGGAACGACACGAGTCATGACACGTTTTACATGTTTGCGTGGGTGAGTCATAGTACTGTGAGCCCAGGCACTCCATGCAGAGACCGCCGTCAAGCATGAAATGCAGCGGACAGGATGTGCAGGCCAATGGACCGGCGCCTGAGGCAATTGTGGTGCGCGGGCACGAAAGTTGGTGAATGGAGAATGTGGGCAAAAAAAAAATAATAATAGAAAATAAAGCAAATGAGAAATGTATTCATGGAAAGTTGGTTGGCAAATCTAGCGCCGCAGCAAAGTGTTGGATTTGCGAAAATTGAAATTCAGCAAATCCATACACTCAGCGGCGGCACGTCTTGCAAGTCACTGCATTGCTAAGCAGCTTTACAACAATGCGGAGCAAAGTACACACAACTTACCGTTGCAAGTTTTGCAATAATGATGACACTTCTGACAGCCAAACTCGGACTTGTAGAAACCCTCCGGGCACTCGGGATGACATTCGCCGCCAGCCAACTGCCAATCTGTCGGACACTGAACGCACTGGTCGCGCCGCGGACCGCTGCAGGTGTGGCAGCTGAGGTAACACTTGGCGCAGGTGCCACGGTCGCTGTAGTAGCTGTAAGTGAGGAGGATAAAGTTTTTACGCTAGTGTTTACAAAGAAATAATCTTAAATTTTGAATTTTTTATGCTAGTCATTACGGGCAATACAGCGCAAAAGCGCCGCAGCGCGTAATAGTTCTGAACGTAAGCGGGAAGCGGAAAGTGTGCGCAGCTGAAAATGTGAAAAAGTTGTCGATAAATTTTCTTCCTACTTTAGTGTCATTGTCGTTTTTCGTCGCTGCTGCTACATACAGCTGCTTGTTAGCACGAAAGTTCAAGGCAGCATGACGCACCTCTGCAACTTTAGTAAAACTTTTAATGGTGACGAAATCTTTTCGCTGTTGTAAGAAGTTGTTGTTATCATTTTAAGTTGCGTTTATTCTACGAAACTGTTTGTTGTTTTTAATATTTGAACAGTGCAAAAAGTTTTAGTAGCGTTAATCACAAGCGCTTTTAAAATGACAAGCAACAAGAAAATTGCGTTAAATAAATTTTTTATGAAATCAATAAGAGAAAAATAAGTTAAAAATTGTGTTGAGAAAGTGAAATAAGAAAGAGTTGTTATGAAAAATCTTTGAAATAAAAATAAGCTTAAGATCGCCGTAGTCAAGGCTTTATTGTTGTATTTGTCATTATAAATGATATACAAAAACTAAAAGCTATATAAAATATTGAAGCTAGTATTCAAAAAAGTAACGTTAGTATTTTCCCAATCCTGAACACATTGAAAACGACGCGCTACATAGCTTCCAATTTGTTTTCTCTATTATCTAAACGCTTTGTCGATGGCGACATGAATTTTTTGAACGTGGCAGCGACATGAATAATTTGTATGAGTTTGACATAAGAGAGAAGAACCTTATCTGTCGCAGGAAAAATAGAAATAGCTATAATCTAGCCACAACCACAGTCGCAGTGTAGCTCTGTCGTCGCCAAAATAAATATCGTGTGGAAATGATTTGACAGCTGTGGTTAGGGTTGGGACGATACCTAAAATAATCGATTCTTGTAGTCGTTTCACTTTCTGCTGAATCATCGATTCTTGTACTCGTACTTTCAACAAAAAGCATCGATACTATCAAATCTTCGATTTCTTTTTGGAAAATTTAATACAGTGGATACATTCTTTTATTTTCTATTATTTATATGTATCTACATATATAATTTTACAAACAAACTGTGTTTTATTTCATTGAGAGTTATTAATACAAAACAAGAATTAAAAAACCATCGCGATTAAGTAAATAAATATAAACAAATAATAATGGCAAACTAGATATTTCGCCTCTGACAAGCCTTTCTTAGAAGAACAAGATTTTGAATGAAAAGAATATTAATCCTCACTAAGATTGCTGAGTACAAGCGCTAAAAAAATAAATAGGGTTATAATTCGATTCCATGCAATTTTAAATTGTATTGTTTCAGTGCTTGATCAATTTGGAGCACCGGGGGCATATTGCCAATTGGATATTTTTTAAATATTGCCAAACTTTTGACGTATTGGAAGATATTTATAAAATATTCACTTAACTTTCATCCGATATAGCATCTAAATTATTCTGAAATAAAGATATGAGTGTTTTTGCCGCGTACACATACAAATATATTATTATAGACTTCAGCATTAGAGATAGCAAAAATACATTTAAATTAACAAAAGTAGCCACCACTACAAATGTTGGGGTATCGAGGTAAAGAATCGATAGTTTTACTCGAGTATTTCGTTAAAATCATCGATACCAAAAATACTCGGATAGGAACAAAAAGTATCGATAGTATCGTACTTGTGAGTAGTATCGTCCTATCCCTATTTGTGGTCCATAGCCTGTCGTTTTCAATGTGTTTCAAGTATATGCCTGATTAAAAAAAAAAAACAAGAAATATTGAGTGAGCATTTTTTTGTTCTATAACCAAGATTATTTGTATATGAACTTTTACTACGCGGAAAAAAGTTATTTACTTAAAATTGGATGAATGTTTTCTTGATCGCAAAACAGTAAATATCTAATTCGTGAAATATTCAAATTTGGTCAAGTTTTCCCTGAACTCAAGAAAAACACTTTACTCAAGAAAAGAAAACGGTTTTATTGTTTACCAACAACAACAAAACCTATTAAAAAATACCGTTAGAAACAAATATTAACATAAATATGCAAGCATTTTCTCAAATTTATTAAATTTAAGAAAATAACTTTACTCATATGAAGAAAACAATTTGTTAATTTGCTTAAACTTTGAAAACAATAAGTAATTTTCAGCAAAAAACAAAACCGACATCAATTCCCATGTAAAAAATTTAAGATTATCGTTAATTTCTCCAAGATCGAATGATCGGCCAATAACCAAATTAGTATGGGACCACCTTTGAGGTAAAAACACCTTTCCTAAAAAAAATATATATATATGTATATAAATCGGCTAACGTGGGCAAAAGTTATGCGGAAGCATACATTAAAGAAAAAAAAATATTCCAACGAATTGATAACCTTCTCCTTTTTTGAAGTCGTTTAAAAACCAAACATTAGAGATAAATTTGAAAATAAGCAGGAAAATACTTTCTTAAATTGTCACTAAAACGCAGGTAATAGCTTTCCTGACTAATTTCGGCAGTGGCATCGCGTGAAGACTGGTTCTGAGATCGCAGGTTCGAGTCCGCTTGGAGGTGGTTAAATGAAAGTAAGTCAATTATTTCAATTCAAATATAAAATACAAATTGTAAAATTAGTTTCATATTGCTATCTTAGAGTGAAAACTCATATCTTGATATGGGATACTTGTTTTATTTTTTCTCGTTTATGTTCAATAAAAAGCAAATTTGGTAAGTCAAAAAGAGGCACCGAAAATCCGACAAAATCAAAGTAATACGATATATTTCGATAAATATCGAATTCTTTTTAAACGTATGGAGTCTAACTTTGCTTTAAATACGCAAAATGTTGTATTTAAAGAATTGCAAAATACTTACAAAAAATGGCTATACGTAGTTTTTTCCTCTCCTCTATAATTGAAAAAAATGGACCTAGCAACTTTACACTCCGAGCTACGTAGCGATATGGAAAACCCAAAATACTCAAATACCATAAAAAAAATAAATGAAATACATTATTTTCCCTTTAAAATACAATTCAAAAACTAAAATAAAAAAAAATAAAAAAAAAATTAAAAAATATACTAAAAAATATCCCCTTCTCTAGGTCTCTAACCTCGAATCTCTGTAATGGCACCCCAGAGCGAGCAAAACGACGTGCACTTATTGCTTTCACGGAAGATGAAATAAAATTTCCTAATTTATTAAAGAATTTTCAAGGAAAACTGTTCTTGATTTCTGATTTATTTTTGTGTATATCAAGACTGTATCAAAAAATTTACATATTCTTGTTTATTTTCATATTATAGTTTCTTAGATTTTCTTGATAATAAGAATATATTTTCTAAGTTCAAAACCAAGTCTCGATTTTCTTGTTATTGCTTTAGTTTAAGAAAAAAATTCTCGCCGTGTAAGGTATCGATAAACTTTCATTTCGAGTAAACTGCCTGTTTTACTACTTCAATAAAGGAGGCAGCGCTAGTTTTTCTGAAAGACCATCGCGATCGAGTAGCGAAAGTTTGACAATCCGTTGTTCATCACTAGAAAATGAATTGCAATATTAAAGTTTCTATGCGCAATTTCTGCATCATTTACAATAGTCCAAATATACCCTCACTTTGTTTCTGTAAATTTTCACAATAAATTCAAATACAAAAAGAATTCTCACTTAAATTGCTTTGGTGAAACTGGTTGTATTTGTAGCGTCCTTGAATTTGAAACGAAGTTGATGTTACACAACTTCTAAAGCATTTACAATTGCACTTTTAACTGTAGAAAATGAAAAATGTTTAAGGGTATATATGCAAATTATTGTAAGATCGTCACTCTTATTATTTGGTAATTTAACCTTTTTTTTAAATCAGAGAGTATCAGAAACAGCTAGCAGGGGAGTACCCTGAACACACTTTCAAACTTTTTAAATATCAAATGCTAACTAAGTATGAATGAATTTATGTATTTATGTATGTATACATACTAAGTACTGAAGCTTATTTTATAATTCGTAGCGCCCTTTGCACTTTCCGCTTCCCACCGTTTCTTCCCCCACGAACGTATCTAATGCTAGGCACTCTTAAATGAGCGACAACAACTCCTCCCAGTAATTACCCATCAGCGCAAGTTGTGCGACATTCGCCACTTTGCAGCTGCAATCCTTTGGCGCAGGCAGTGCAGTTCATTCGTGACACGCATTGTGTGCAGGTGTGAAGACATTTGGCACAAATTCCCGCCTCCATGTAGAATCCATCATCACAGCTGCTCACACAGCGTTGCGATTGTAGGAGTAGACTTTGAGGGCACGAGAGGCAATGCGATTCGGTGGGTCCATCACAGGTTTCGCACGTGGAATGGCAGGCGTGACAGTGATTGTTGTCATAGTATTCAGCTGTGAGAGAGGAAAGAAGAAGAGAACAGAGAACAAGTTAGCATTGAATTACTGTGACCATGTTAGTAAGTTTTCGTTGATATATGCACTAATATTTATAAATATACTTAAGTAGTACATACATGGATAAAAATATTTTTGGATAATATCAAATATTTCATTTTGATATTCATACATACGTACTTATCCGGTATGTTACTTTTATCGATTTTTACGATCGCGGGACTTTCGGGATATCATTTTTACAATCCCGGGATTGAGATATTAATGACACTGTGCTACAAAAAAAATGAAATACACCCGAAACGAAACCTAGTGTAAGTTCTAGGAATGGTTGAGTTACTCAACTTGAGTACAACATGAAAATAGGTCCCGTATAGTTCCGGAACCCTTCATTTTTTTTAGTGAAACTTCTTTAGCGGCGGTTGGTTGATTGGGAGTAAAATGGCAAATTAAACGAAAATTGCACACGGAAATGGTGCAACGGAAATGATTGGGGCTGAAACAAGTGCTTCTTGAGTGTACGCACATGGTATTAATTTAACAAAAACTTGCTAACAAAAGGTTAAAGAATAACCTTTAGAAAAAGACTAATAAAACAATGAAATTAAATGTGAGTAAGTACATAGATAAAGAAAAGGACAAAGGCAAAATAAAAATAAAAACAAAACAAAGATGCGTAAATTCAAAGGAAAAATGTAGACCAAGGTAAATTTAAACACTTTACTTATATAAGGGAAAAGGTGAAGGGGAATATGTATGTAGATGAAGAGAATGATAAACATAAAAGTAAAAACAAATATAAATATACATAAATAAAAAGAAGAGGATGAGAATACCGATAAAAGTAAAGATGAAGATAGACGAAGAAAGATTAAAGCAAAGGTAATTATAGAGAAAAGGACATAGATAGAGACACAGAGACTCAATCTGAGAACTGTATTTGGATTTTAGAGATTCTCGGGACATACTGATATAGTAACCTATATTTTTTTATCGGTTTTTTTATCGATATTTTTATCGATTTTGTTATTGACTATTTATCGATTTTGTTATCGGTCGATTTCTAATCGATTTTTGTATCGATATAGTAATCGATATTCTTATCGATTTTGTTATCGATATTTTTATCGATTTTCTAATCGATTTTGCTATCGAAATTTTTACCGAATTTGTCATCGATTTTGTTAGCGATGTTTTATCAATTTTGTTATCGATATTTTATCGGTTTTGTTATCAGTTATTTATCGATTTTGTTATCGTTATTTATCGATTTTGTTACGGCTTCTGTTTCGATTACTTATCGATTTTGTTATCGATATTTACATCGATTTTGTTATTTATATATTTATCGATTTTGTTATCGATACGTTTTTGCAGGAGATTTTCGGCAGACGCTTCCTGTCATCGAGCGTGACACTGCGGTAGGGGAGATAAGTGCGAGCATCAAAGTTTCGCCATTTTCGGCAAAGATCGAAATATTGAACCTCACAACTAACATCCAGTGATAGAGGGTCCGAACTCTTTGCTCAAGACCTCCTTGAGATCGGTTAGGGCCGCATGGCAAAATGCCTGGTAAGGCGACCACATACATACATGTCTGTTGATACAGTGATGGCAAATGAAGATGCAAAAACATATCCTATAGAGTATCTCAGTTCTTAAGAATGGTCAGAGCTGCCGTCACGCAAACTGGAATTAAAGGTTGGGGTGTCAGTCATATTGATGATTAATACGTAGTTTACGTATTGTATCGCAGTACATGTGATTAATTTTAATTGCTTAACTTTTATTAGCAAAAGTTGTTACATTTATCTGGTGAAAGGATTTGTTTCCTTCTTTGTTACATTTAAAATTATTTACTTTAAACGAAACATCACGCAGACGAAGCTGCGGGCAAAAGCTAGTATATATGTATACATATATGTATATATAATATTATAAATCCGAAAGTGAGTCTGTTTATTTGTTACGCTTTCACGCTTTAACTACTCAACCGACCATCATGAAAACTTGTAAAATATAGGATAGATTTAATCTCTATTGTACAAGGGGGCGTGGCACCTCCCACACAAACGGAATTTTTTATACTGCATATCGCAAGAAATATTTGTGATAGAGTACTGGAACTTGGTATGGAGATATATGAAATAAATTCTACACTAAAGGAGGAGGGCTGCCACCTGTTTAAAAAATCAAATTCAACTTGAATTGAATGAAAAAGTGGTTGTGAAGAAGCTTAAAAAAGTTTTAGTTTGAAAATATTTTGAAAGGGGTTGCCATCTGTTTGAAAATTCAAATTTAATTCGAAATATTTTTGAAAGGCGTTCTAGTTCTAAACTACATGAAGGACGGTTGCCACGTGTTTGAAAAATCCAATTCTAATTGAATTAAGGGAATTGGATAATTGGAATATTTCTCACAATATGGGTATCGTAACAAATGGGTTTAATATGGTTTTAGTAGGAAAATAAATTGGAGAGGGTTACTACCTGTTTTAAAAGTCGAATTTAAATTAGTTATACTCAAATTAAAGTGTCGTACGTAAGAGTGTTTAAAAATGTTCAGCTTGAACATGTAGAATCTTCTGAGGTATTTGAAGAAGGTTACCACCTGTTTTAAAACTAAATTCAAATATAATTATATTATAAGTTAAATAAGTTCTTAATCAAAAGAGTCTTGAAAAGTCTTTATTTCTAAGCTACATATGTTTCCACATGTTTGAAAATTCAAATTCCACTTGAATTGTATGAATTAGGTAATTTATATTGGATATTCTTAGACTGCTAATAATTGGGAATTTTCGAAAATCATAATTTTTCTGCCTGGGTCAAATGGAAATATAAAAATACATGCACATATACATGTGTAATATATGATGGTATTTATTTAACATTAAATGTTGCGTAACAGTCTTCATTAATTGACTTGTTTTCATTTGTATTTAAATATGGGAGGACTGCAATTCCTTCGGCACAAAATGTAATTAATATACATATATGCATAACCCTTCATAGCAACGGTACCTCTCTTCCAGTACTTTGCTGAATGCATGTAATGCTACCAACAAATGAGATGAAATTGCAATTACTTAAAGTAAAGTGAGATGAAATGGCGGAAAGAAACCGAAGAGGTGAGATGTAGTAGGTTAAATAACAAAACACACACGAACACATATACACCCACATCAGTAGATCTCTGTTAAATCAGAAACGTAAAATTCAACAAAAAAGGAAACCAACAAAAAAAAATTTGCACTATGAAACTGATAATGCAAATGAAATTGCCAAGTGAAATTGCAAATGAGAATGGAAAGTGTAATTTGACGAATGAAATGAATTGGCAGCACAGCAAAAACAATACATGCAAACGAAATATACAGGCAAGGAGCCGACTGTACTCGTTTGCCTAAAGTCTACTCATTGTTGTTTATGGGCTCGCTTGCTTGTTTGCTGTTTCACGCAATTTTATGGCAATCATAAAGGCGTCGTAACCGAAGCCAAATGAATCGAGTTGGATGGTATTGCGGCGAATTGGCTCAGCAGTCAGCCGGACTTGGAATGACATGGCTATCTTATGGCTGTAGATGCGGCTGTCCTCCCACGCCTCGTGGTTCGGTGGTCATACGCCTCGTTTGTATGATGAGGTACATATGTGTGTGTATGTATGTAGTAATGTAACTCATTTAAATCACAGGACTCTTCTCAAATTTAACGTGTTTTTAATTTCGCTTTGTATGCAGTGCAAAGATGATGGACGCAGATCCAAATCGTTGTAGAGTAAATGGCAGTTGGCTGAATTTTTTTTATGTTAACAAGGCAATTTAATGGCAACCAGGAATAAACATACGCATGGATAAGGAGGGCGGGTTGCATATTATATTAATTGGACGTTTTTGTAAGGAAGTTAAAAATTCGTTTAATATTTCTCGAGACATCACGTTTATAAATAATCAAAACAAAAATTAACATAGTGTTGGAAATCTGCCTTAGGACGTGGAATTTGTGAAGAAATGTGTACTAGAGCGTGGAAATTACAGGGAAATTTCGATTCGATCTGATCTCCTCGTCTACAACTAACGCAAATAAAACTTTACAGCCTAAGTAAATTTTTGCTTCAAGCGGATATTTACAGGGTGTGCTTTTGTGCAGGTTGCTTTGGCCAGAAATGGAACCTACCTAGGTTCCACCGGGTCGGGCCACAGTGTGTCGTGTGGAGCAAGCTAGATGAACAAAATTCGTACCCGGATTTCTAGAAAGCGGTAACCTATTAACCTTCCGACTATCGGTGACTTGAAATGCGCTTAACCAAATGTATTGCATACTTGGGACTACCCAAGCAAAGCCATTGGGTATACCAAAAGTGTTACAGTGTTTATTAAATATAAAAATAACAAAGATTTGTTGCATTAATGAATTGCTGGTAAATTTGTATAATTTATATGTCAATCTAAAGAGCAATTAATTCGTAAATAAATATTTAGTTCATGGAGCCTCTTGTTGTTGCCTCAGCAATGCATGTGTCGTTATTGATGCTGTAGTGGCTACTTAGCCCTACCAAGATCAGCTTGTCCCTCAGTCGTGGTCGTGAGGCTCAAATAGCGGGATATTTAGGAAGTGTGTGACCCCAACTGGGTTGGTCTATAAGTAGAGGGCTTTAGTTGATTGGGGTTTAAGGGGCATACGAAAAGAACTATCGCCTCGTCGGGAGACTCTCTGCGTGCAGGGCACTTATTGGACACGTCTGCAATTATCCTACTTAGATGGGAGTTTAACCGACTACTACAGTAGCTAGAGCGAAGTTCAGCTATGGTGATTCGAGGAGATGAAGCTCTGTCTGGTCGTCCATGTCAGGTAGTTCTGTTTCAAAAACGGCGTTAGAAGCCTTTTTATGTGAATATTTGAAATCAAATAATGTTTTGTTTTCAGCTCTGCAATGTTTCTGAAAAAGCCTACCATACGTGTAAACACTCTCACATATAGTAATTTGAAAAACTCGATCCGCTCGGCATAATACCGAAAGCCTGCATTTCCACCAGCTCCACGACCGGCTACTTGCTGTGATCAGTCAACTTAGCCTTGCTGTCTTTGTCAACTCTTTGCCGTCTGTTGCCACTTGTTTGATGTTTTTCTGCCCGTCCACCTGTCCATGTGTCATTAAGTTGAGGCGATGGCGACTATGCCACGCAACGTGTTGCGAATACGAAAACATCACAATCAGCTTGCCAAATGGCTGGAAAATGACCTTTTTACTTTGCTTTATGTCGCTACGCTGGCCATTAAAATATCCAGCCCAGCTCGGCTACTGCTCAAATGGAAGCAAAAGGTAGAAAAATGTCTCCAAAGCCCACTCAGTTACGTTTGCGCCAACCTATTTAACAGCTGCTAAACTAGCTGGCTGACCTGCTGCCTGACCGTCTGCCTCCACTTCGCTTATTTGTTCGTTTGGCATGCAAATGGAACTGTCACTTGCATTATGTTGGCGGGCGATGCACTGTTGAAAGGTGCATTGCCATGCGTTCAACACCCGCAATCAGGCTGAAAGGCAAGCGGATGCACATTTCGTGGCAGTCGAATTGCAATGCGTGCGAGTTATGTAAGTGCGAATTCATTTCAACCAGCAAGGCATTTTTGCTGCAGCAAGTAGCCAATTGGGTTTGATTAATTCTTTCATTACCTTGGGTTTGCTTTTAGCACAAAGCGAGTATGCTAATATTTTCTACTTTAAAGTTCACTTTAAAAAATTTCTTAGTCAATCTTATAGACCGTACAAAATACAATTTTACACTTTATGCACGCACCCGCTTACCCATTCCCCGCCGCGTAGGCATATTCTTTGTTACACTTGGCCTTTTCTATCTTCCTTAATCGGTCGGTCGGCCCTCAACGCCCTCTGAAAAACTCATCAGAAATGTTGTCATCAACAGTTACACGCGTCATGCAAGGATGCAACGAAATCTCATGCAACATGCATTCATTCACAGCCAGCACTTGGCTGATGATACGCTGGTGCATGGCGTATACGTAACATCGCACAAATTGACTTGTTTGCGTTGCTGATGTGGCGAAGGGTGTGCGTTTGTTGTTGTCGCTGTTGCATTTTATATCAAAGTTGTTGCTTCGCCCGAGTTGTTTTTTTTTCACGCTATACTCCTTTCTTTTTGTTTCGAATGCCCGCCCGCTCTGTGTTGTGTGGTGCCACATTCCCTACATGCCACACATTTTTCTCACTTGCCAAGTTATTAATGGCGTCGGGAGATTGTGATTTTTTCCCTCGTAACACAGACATTCGTTGCTCAAAAATATTTTAAGGGGGGATAGTAAAGTGCGGCTCAGAGATGCGCTTAAATTTTTAATATTTTTTTTTCATGTTGGAGTATAAATTAACTCGTAAAACTCTAAATGGCTCTTTGGCTTTTGGACAGCTGATTTTGGGCTTGGTGGTGTAAGCACCTTACTTATGGCAACATCGCATCTTATTATGCAATTGTAGACAAGATCTTAAAAGCTATTTTTTAGTTGTATGTTTTATCCAATTAAATAATTTAAAAATTATTAAAAGTTCGGAGAGTAAAACATCGCTCTTCCTACTTACATCTATCACAACGATTCTAATTAGAGTCATAGGGCTGGTTTCTCCAACACAACTTAACTTAGTTAAGCCAAATTTCTTGACTTAGTCAAGAAAAAGCTGTGTAAATCGTAGGCTAACTTTTGACTTAAGTCCGAAAAGTGGCTAAACTAAGTTAAGTTGAGTTGGAGAAACCAGCCCATAGAGTTCAATGTGTAAAAGATGCGGACAAGTAACGTATATTTTGACTGATGAATATAAACCATATGGGTCAAAATCGGAGGGAGACCCACCTTATTATTTAAAATAATTATATTATTAATTTCGACTAACAAAGTCCATCACCAGGGTAAAAATATTCATCCATGTCCATGTACATATGTATGTATGTATGTATATGTACAGATTTCTTTAATTCTCTGACCATTTCATTGGTAAGTATATAAGTACTTACATTCATCACAATTTTCACTGCCAGATATAATGCATTTGCCTTTCTTGTTGCGTGTCCAATTTTCATGGCATGTGAGGCAAAAGCCATTGCTGCTACATGTTGCACAACCAGTGGGGCAAGTAACACATTCCTGGCGCTTCTTGTCCGCATAGTAACCGTCCGGGCAATTGTTTAAGCATTTGCCATCGAAAGCAAAGCGCCCAGAACGGCAAGTGATGCATTGCGATTCGGCGGAACCATTGCAAGTGTCACAAGATGAATGGCAAGAGGCGCAACTGTAAGAGATGAGAGAAAATACCAAATAAATATGGGTAAAGGTAAGAAACTGAATATCAAAAGGAAATTGTTCTTACATATATAAGTACGTACATATTTTACTAAGAAAAAAGTTTGAAAATACTACATACGAACACATTTGATGAAGAAGATACTGCATTTTTTTATCGATGTTTGCATGCATACATAAGCACCAGCATACACATGTAAATTGTGGGATTGATCGGCTTCGGCTTGCTTGTTTTTACCTCACATTGGAATCGCCAAGGAAATACCCACAATATAAATGTAAAATTTATGCATTTGTATATACATATGTATTTCTTGGTGTGTGTGAAAAACCGGTGCATGAAAAATTTAATAGTTTCTGTGGAAAATAATATTCACTGAAAAGAGAGTGTTAAACTTAAAAAGTTATTCCAACAAAAAAAAACATTTCATTTTTCCATCCGCATCGAGCGGGTTGGGCATTGATCATCATCTGCCGAAGTGTGAAATTTAATATTTTTGCATACTATAAGCTTTTACACAAAGCAACAATTGTTCGAGATGTTAAAATGGTGAAAGGCGCGCAAAGGTATGCAAAGTTGTATATATTTCCTGTTTAAAATATATCACTTCCAGTGTTGCCGTTGTTACGGTTTTCCCAGCAAAGTCAGTAGGATAATTTATTTTGGGTAGGTTGGTAGACTAAAATTACTATTTATATACATACATACTTCCTGATTAGTGATATAAAAGATAGGAGTAACGTTTGATTTATTTTACTCATAAAAAGAAGGATTTTGCAGCATTCAAATTGTTTAACTAAACCGCTCTTACAGATCCACTGAGCATTTCACTGAAGAGTCTTGGGGTTAATAATAAAAATATTGTGTACCATCGAAACTTAAATGTATTTAGGGGTGCGGTTACTCTAGAGTGGTTTAAATTTAGCCAAAATTTAATTAAAAAAAAAAATTAGCATATTTAAATCTTCCCAAAAATCAACATACACAGATAACACGCTGCATCGGCGCTTCGTAACAATTGAAATTGATTTGGTTGCGAATAAATAAAAGACAGAAAACATCGACCACCTCAACTTCGAACTGATTTCTTTAGGTCGAAGATGAATGAAAATGACGAATGTAAGGTCAAACTTTGGGCAGTTAACTCTTTAAGGCTTTCAAAGTAGCATAACACCTGCATAATAATTTTGGAGGTGCCAAGTCACTGGCTGACCCGCATCCACGCACTGTGATATATCCAGATAACTTGTAGGACTGTGAGCAAAGCGTTAAAGTGAAGATCAATGTAGTGTGCCTTGAACATAATTACTAAGCTTTTAAAGAAATATTTTGAAGGACAAAAATTTCTCGCGATCCCGGGGCCTGCTACTCGTGGTGCTAGTAAAAGCCCTGACTAAGCTCAGAGTCGAGAACAAATTTTGTTTCGCCCTTTTCGGGATTAGTATAAACTTGCGGATCACTCCTGTCTGTAAACATTGAGCGTAGAGTTTACGCAGGCTAAGAAGCACTGGTTTATCCTTCAACCTGAAGTGTCATGACTTGGAAATCTTTGGAAATATTAACTTCATAACTAAAGAAACGAACCGTTGTGCAACGCAGCTGACCCATAGTTGATTCTTCCCTCCACACAGTCCTCTAAAGGCTTGAATAGTAAGAGCGGCTCAGCAAATACATTCACGGTAGGCTCGAAGTTGGTAGAGCAGGATTCTGTATGAAAATTTCCCTAACAGACAACATGTAGGCTGCTGCTGGGCAGTAGTTGTCCGCGTTTGGTCAAAGGAGCTTCTGTAGCCCAGAATGCACCAACACTCGGTGTCCTAATGAGCAGCTCTGTTTTTTCAAGACTGTGGTTTTGACATCATAATTTATCGACACATTCTATGAGCAGCATCTGATACCTGCGGACATACATTTTGATTTGCTTTATCATATGGTTTGCCTACAGTTACCTATAAAGGGAAATCTGTTTAGTGCTAACATGATTGCTCCCTTGTTGAGCTCAGCAGCTGCCTAAGGTACAATTTTTAGATTATAATGCCTTAAACTATTTGGTATGCTGATAACCGCTTTGGTAGCTTTCTGAAAAAACGCACTTCAAGTTGCAACACTGTCCACAGCACCAGCAGTAGCTGTATGTCTCTGTCGAATGAAATTGTTATAAAACTAAATGTGTTTGTGCATAGATATTCCCAGTGGGAAAATGTAATGAATGTGTTTTAATATGAAAATTTTGGAACTTTTTGAATACATTAGAATTTTGATTACATTGTTAGCAGTAATATTATCGAGAACGCTTAAGAAATACATTTTATTATTTATCACGCATGTAATGTATTACTAATTTTCCGACTGGGTTGCTACGTAGTAGATTTAAAATTCACATCCAAGTAGAAAAAATTAGGATCAAAAAGCTATTACGGAAATCCTTTTCTTGAATGTAGATTTCCTTAACCATTTTTTTATATGAAACGGGAACAATTTCAAGGCCGTGCTTTTCCGATTGCCGGAGAACAGTTCATAGAAAGACTTATTTTTTATGCGTAACTTTTTCATTCGGATACGATTTTCCTCTGGACATTACAGATGCTTTTGCGTAATTAAGAAAAACCAAAAAGAAAAATGAAGAAAGAAAAATGGTCTAAAGGTACTCCTGAAAGCTAACAAATAGTACCAAACATGTAAAAAAATGTGTTTTCAAATATCTATTTAAATCAAATTTGTTACAATCGTTATTTTAAAACATGCGTGACTTATGCCACTTTATTTACTTAACACGTTGCCTACTCATTTCTCGAGAAGAAATACTGGAAGCGCTCTGTGTGTTATTCGTTATGTAGGGAAAGCCTTGACAAAATGGCTTCTGGCATGGTATATAAATATTTGATTTTTGTATACATATTTACACATATACATGCATACATATATGTGTACGAGAATTTTTTTGGAGCTCTAAAGTTATCTACTTCGTTTGCAGCGACTCTTTTGGTAGATGATTTTTAATCTACCCGAATTTACGTATTCACATTTATATGTGTCATATTTAAGTAAGACTGTATTTTTAAATAAACATAAAGAAGGCCGACCGAATACAAGTTTTTTAAATACACAATCGTTCGTGGCTAGTTTTGAATAAACGTCACTTTTTTTGTTTACGCTTTCCATTTTTTAAAAGACTTGTACCAAAAGTGCGTGTACACAAATTCACAAAACAATTGGAATCCTTTTTTTTTGATAACTACATGTACCTATGTATATGCAATTTTTTCGCAGCCAGTTACATTTTTTACTCTCTGCAGTGTTGCATATGCGCTTATAAAATGCTCTGTGCAATGGATTCGAGGCAATGTTTCGCCCAGTGGATTCATATTTGCATACACTTAGGAATGTTTTATACCCGGTCGGCAAAACGAAGAGCACTTCTTTATAATTCTTCTTCTTTATTTAAGGCTTCTAAGAACTTCGAAGTATTTGGTATATGTGGTATTAGAACAATGATCTGCCTCTGAAGGCAGATAGAAGAGGCGTGCGCTACGTTTCTGGAGTAAAGTTAAATTTTTTGACAAAGTCTGAGCACTTCATATAAAAAAAAAAACATCTAAATAGTAGATCAAAAGATCTTAATAAAGGTCTCCTTGAAGGACACTTTTAGTTATTTTACCCACCCGCTTAAGTACCCACCCTATTAAAAGTACCCAACCCGCTTACGAACCAACATTTTTGGACATCGTGACAAATATTCGGCTACTAAGTCAATCTAATAAATTCGTAAGAAAAAACAACAACAACAAAAATAATCAGTGTCAAACGTTGCTCATTGTGACGAGTAAAAATATTAATTTTTTAGCGTGAAGTTTTTCGCATAATTTTAAGTAGCAGTACTTTTTTTGCGAAGCTATTTTAAAATAATTATTTATGTGTGGTTTAGTTTCAATGTTTTCCGACTTCGTTACTAAGTTTCCAAGCTGTATTGAAGATTGATTACTTTCGTTATATTTAAACAAAAAATATTCCAAAAAGTAAGTAATTGTGAAAACATTAGGATGTTTACTGGAGTAGCTCTTTCGAATCTAACTTCATCTATACTCGTGTTTATATGCTGCAAACCAATAAGGAATATTTCTACTTTTAGATTTCGTAAGTACTTTTTGCAAAAATCTGCATACATTTTTGATTTTCATTAATAAACATGGCAGTTATCCGAAGCGCACTTTTTGACGAGTGGCTTAAAGGCAAAAAAGATGAGAGAGGGAGATGTAATGAGATATATTTTGGATAAGGTGGGATGAGACATTGACCATGAAAGATTAAAAGAGTTTATCGGTAAGATCTGTAGTCAATTTCCTTTAAAATAAGGCTGCTGCTTTCGTATGAAGTCCCCTTTTCTGCAGCTGCACTCCAACTGGTTGTCGCAAAGTGTGGATTTATCCGACTTTTTTCTTGAAGTAACACCGTATTGACGTAACATCAATATCATAGGTGCATCCATTTAATAGTTACGACTTTTGGCAAGCTAAAATTGAAAAAGGGCACACTGTGCGCGTCAGTGTAACAACGTGCACGTATCAAGTACCTCAAAATTACCGTTGATTTTTTAGAAACAACAACAAAAAAACAACGATAATTTTTTGCCACTTGCAACTTGTTACATTAAAATCGGATGGAAATTGAAATTTTGAAATTTTGATAAAAATTTTATGAACTTTCAGGGTTCTACACAATTTTAAGCTTAGGTTTATATGGTATTTGTTAGGGAATGAACTGTATTTTAATTGAAAAATTTTAAAAATTTAAATAATTTGGTCCAAACTGTATGCGTGTATAAATATGTATAATCAATGACTTTTTAAAGGATTGAATTATTGTAAAAATTAGAAAACATTGCTTTATCTATTTTTTAATAAAGTTTTTCTTTATTTGTATATGTGTTTAAATAATGCTACAGATCTTTTTTTTTAATGCGTATACTTCATTAAATGTTCATGTTTTAT